TACTCAACCCAGATCAGAGGTGGGGCAGGGAGGGAGGTGTGTGGAGCCTAAGGGAACCTCCTGGTACTCCCTCATCCCACTGTAAACAGACATACACACATACGCGTCAACCTTGGCCTGAGAAGGATCTGACAGCCAAGGGCTCAGAAGCCTTGCAGGGAAGAGTTTGGTCACACCACCAGCTAAGCTGTCAAGATATATGGCAGCGCCAGCTGAGGGTGAGAAGAATTTGAAATGGACAGTGGCAGAGGAGGGGAGAGGACCAGTTGGGGCCCCGAGTTCCACTATGATAACGAGGCAGTGGTTCATCTCATTAACTTCTCCCTTCTAAGCTCCTTCTCAGGAAGAGAGGCCCGGGGTGACAGAGCACAGCAGCGGTCACAAGGCAGGAGTGCGCCCGCGGGACATGAGGCTCCTCCAGCCAGCAACTCCGGCTCGAGGATGTACCGATGGCCTGGCCAAAGCCTCCGCAGGTCCCCGCTGCAGGCTGAGGCTCTGAACAGCCCTCCTTTCTCGGGCCCCGTCCTTCACAGGGCAGGCGGGACCGCCGTCGGCAGCCACACACCTGCTCCCTCGTCCCCCACAGGTCTCCGGCACATCAATCCTGTCTGAGACGGATTTGTCCGTGGACCTGAACTAACCCAGCATGTCCTCCATGATGAGAACACAACAGAGGGAGAATCCCAGGGTGACCCTAAGCTTTGCCCTCTGGGTCTGTCCTGCCTGCACGGAGTGTCCTGGGACCGAGGGATACTGAGCAGGCCGTCCCTCAGAGGCAGGCCAGCACGCTGGGAAACCCTCAGGTCCAGCAAGGACTATGCGGTCAGGGCCTGGGGAAAGACCAAAGTGTGCCGGCAGGGGCCCGGAGCCCCGCCACAGCCCCGGCTGTTGCCAGAAAAGCCAGTGGCCTGAGCTGCGAGGTGCCCACAGGCTGGGGAGAAGAGAGGACGTGAGGCCCAGAACTGTCCTCTCGTCTGGAAGGCTGCAGTGATGCTGTCCTTCAGTGAGGACTAGTGAAGGTGGAAAGGCGCTTCAGCGGAGGGAAACCAACCCCACAGGGAAGCTCTCTCTCTCATACTTCTAGATGTTAGCGATCAGTGTTGATGTGGGTTTCAAGGTGCCAAAATGAGCCATCTAGCTAGGCAGGAAGAAACGAAAGATTTCGTTTCATTAGTTTAGCACACTAACCTGCCCCAAGAGAAGATTGGGGCGGGGAGCTGGCTGTGGGAGTCAGGGTGTCTCTGGACCAGGGCGGCGCACAGCTGCCCGGGGAGGCGGAGAGGGCAGCCTGAAGCCGGAGCTCGGGTCTGCACCTCAGTGCACGGGCCACTCAGGCGGCTATGAGGGCACGTACCACACCCCATACCTCTGAAGTGCTCCCCAGTTTATCCGGCCCCATCACACATCACCGCGTCCCGCTCTCCCTCAGCCCTGACATGTATCGCCACCTTCGGGCTCCTAATGAGCACGCTGCACCATGGAGCGGATGGTGACCTGCCACGGAGAGTGACCAGCCAACTCAGTGTTACGATAAGTTGGGACGGTCAGGCCGTCTTCCCACCCAGGGGTCCACAGGGACTGGGAGTCCCCAAGTTCCAGACAGAGAGCTTCTAGGGCAGGTCTGCTTCGAAGGGGCGAGAATTGGAACTTTCCTTGAGCTCAGGGATGGAGAGAAGGCAGGTGGCGTGAAGGCACGGCTTTGGAATCTGCCGGAGCTGGGGTAAGATCCGCAGGGTGACCTTGGGCAGGTCTGAATTGGTTTTTACTTTGTAATCTGTACAGCTGTGACAACACCATCTGCCTTGAGTGGTGTTGGAACAAGAAATAAGCTGGGTGAGCCCCTAGCCCAGTGCTGGTGCGTTATGGGCAGCCAGGAAGTGGGGGCTGCTATCCCTCTACACGGATCAGGAAGACGAGAGGTCACAGACAACGTGCAGCCTTGCAGTCAAGTTCAGCTTCTGCAAGTTGGTCTGGCAGAGTTAATGCTCTTCACAGTTATCACTATGCTTCACGATCAGGCAAAAAATGGCAGGCAGGTGATGTCAATAACTACAATTACTACTATAGTCACAGAGTTAAACCAAATTTTTACAGCTTCTTTCTTCTACATGTTAGCTCTTTAGAATCCATAAACTATCCAAAAAGACAGTTTTCCCTGACGTCATGAGCAATTTAATCCTCATCATAATCTTTCAACAAATGAAAAGACAAAGGTTGGAAAGCGATTTGACTCCCCACAGCCAGGTTCCCTCTCTAAAAGGATTAAATCGGGTCCCCCAGCCCCCCTTCATCAAGCGTCATCTGCCAGGTCCTGGGCTAGGGCACTAGGGGCACTGAAATGAACAAAACAAGAAGCCGTTTCAACAATTAATTGTACCAAACTAGCATTGAGACATAAGCTCATTTCAGCCATATGAAGAGCCTCATCTCTTTGCTGCTGTTCCCTTCATATTACTCGGCGCTAGACCACTCGGCTCCTTAGGGCCTGGGCTGGAATATCTTCATTGCCTAATATCACTGTTACACCAAATGCGATTCAGGCACTCCTGGGGAAACGGCCCTTAAGTGACCAGAGGAACACAGGGCAGAGCCTGGGGAGAAGAGAAAGTCATGGTCAGGCTCATGGGGTTCTCTGTGTTCGCAATTCCCAAGTGGGGAGAGGAGTTTGCCTCTGCACAGAGGGCATGGCACACAGCTGAGCGCTGTCAGACGTGGGCACCAGCGTCCTCGCCAGTTGATACTCTAATGGGAGCTCAGCCAGAGCTCCTGAATGTAGCCCTGCTGGCACAGGGAAGACAGAATGGAAGACATGAGAGGGTTTTTCTGTGTGGAAGGAGAGGCAATCCACACGCACTCTGGGCATTCTATATGCTAAGCCAGTGATGATGTCTTTGCCCTGTTGTTCCACTCCACCCCATGACAACCATGACAGGTAGGTATCATTAGTCCCTTGTTCTTAACAGATGAAGAAATCTGAGGCTCAGAGATGTTAGGAAATTTGTCCACGGATTGAGAATGAATCCCAGCACTGCCTTTAAGACATGCGAGAGAGAACCACAGAGGGGACCGTTGAGACTCTGGCTCACATATTTCCCTAGATCCAGCTCCTATCCAGTATTCTAGACCCATGTTTTGTTTTACAGGTCTCTGGGGCTGCAGTTCATCAATTATTTACATCCCCTAAATTCTCCTCTTCTATTGCTTACTCTGGTACATACACCAGGAGCTAAGCATTAGGCCAAGAAACAGAGCTGGGCTATTTTCTCCTTGCACCTTCAAAGACAACCTAAGTCATTGTCGTTGTCACTGTACCGCTGAACTGCTAAGGCATGAACTTAAAGGGAGGAGGCCCGGTGCCCTTCTCCCACTGAACAAAACTCTGCCAGCCTTTGTTTTAGGGAGTAGAAAGTCAGGCCAGAGCTGGAGTCTATAAACCCCTGGGCCTAAAGATCTGTTTCTGCTGCCACAATCTCCACACACGGGGCTGCCATCCACTGCCATGCAGCAAGCACCAGGAAGCACAGGGTTGTGCTGACACGGAGGGTAGCAGGCTGGCATGGCACGCAGCTTACGGCTTATATTTCTCTTAGTCCCAAGCGATACTCACCCTTGCCACCCAGGGACTTGCTCAATTGTCCCTGGGCCCCAGAGGAAGTCCAGCCCTACTTCTCTGTAGAATTCAACATCACAGGTAGCTGAGATGGTAGTTTTGACACAATGGCGTTTCACCCTGAAACTGTCCTCCAGAAAGTGCCATCCAAGAGGAGGAATGATGGTGTTAAAGGATGCTTGGCCAACCTTTCCTAAATGACTAACTGGGTGGGAACTGAGGATACACAATAGCTTACTATGGCATCCCCCTAAAGATTAACTACAAAGAGTAATGCACTGAAAGTAACCAGAGTGGAGATCTGGTCATGAAGGCAGCCAGTAACCCATCTCAACCCATAACAAAGCAAGAGTTTCTGAGGAAGGCACAGTTCCACTGGCGTGTGTCTATTTGATTCCTTCCACTGGATAAAATTAAGCAGCTTGAATATTTAAACAATTAGATCACGATGTGTGGTCCTCAAGTCCAGATTGGGACTGTTCTTGTCACTGCCTGGGGTTTCCAAAAGTAGCAACCTGGAACAACAGTTGCCTTTTATCTAGTCTCTCCCCAGAGGAGCTGTGATCATGTTGATTCTGTTACACCAAATGTGATTCAGGCACTCCTGGGGAAACGACCCTTAAGTGACCAGAACAACACAGGGCAAGATCCCTAGACCTCAGCTTCTGCAAATACAACAATAACAAAAGAATACTCTTCAGGTTGTGATGAGGATTAACCTGGATAACAAATGCAATGTCCCAGTACTGTGCCCAACACCCAGCAGGTCCGCAATGGTAGCTACCATCATTATTTATTAGCATCATCGTCACTGTCACCATCAGGGCATACTCCCTTTGCCTCCTTCACCTTCGCTGTCACACAGACAGAAATACAGTCAAGGAGGCAGTCTGCGATGAAGACGGGGCTGCTACAGACCTATGCCGCCACTGCCTTGCCAATAAGGAAAGTTAAATCTCTGGCAGTTCTCAGAAACCCCCCAACTATAAATCCATGAGGTAGACCGTTACAACAAAACCTATAAACCTAAGTATAAACAACACTGCATAAAAGCCAATGTCACACAGTGAACCACATTAGCCGGTATGTGACGGGAGGCAAAGTGGGGGGTGGGTCTGGAGGAGCTGGGGCCTGGAAAGAAAGGCCTGCTTTGGACAGGTGCCTAGGCCATCACAGCTGCTCCTATACAAGCGCAGCAAGCTCTGTATTTAGGGGCAAAAGAGGTGTTACAGGAGGAACATTCTGGACTGTCCTATTTTCTAGGACAGTCGCAAAAAGTGTGCTTCTCTTCCTGACCGTCCCTTTGTAAGAGACGCCCAGTGTAACAGAGCCCAAAGATGCGACCTCTGCAGGACACGCTGAGGTGATGTGTTCCCACTGAGTGGCTTACTTGTTGCTGTCGCGGTACTCATAGATGTGACATCCCTGAGGCAATCCAGTCTCGTAGTCCAGAGTGAAAGCGAGCTTTAGCTGAATAAAGAGAAGGAAAAAACAAATAAGTTTTAGGCAGCATGCTCTGCTCATTCTGACACCTGAAATAAATAAAAAAATCAGGCCCAATCACACTGCCTCCAGCTGACGTGTGGTGGAGAACCGGGGCCTGCCACCTCTAGGAAGAGCCCGTGCCTCATGGGGACACTGTCGTCCATAAGGACTGTTACAGGACTCTCCCTATTCACTCAGCACGCAACCCATTATTTACTAAGCACCTACTTTGTGCCCGACACTGAGCTAACTGATGGGGAAAGAACAGGGGACAGTAGAAGAGAAGGGCCTCCTTCACGGATCTTACAGGCTCGTTCAGGAGGTGGACCTCACTCACATAATCACACTAATAAATGAATCCATATAAAACTTCAAATTAAAACAGGTTCTCCGAGGCAGGAAGAAAAACTCCCATGTTTCTGTTGATGTAAATAACCGGACCTAGGCCAGGGATGAGGGGGTCTCCTAGACAGCGGGGAGGGGAGATGGGGGGCAGGAGGAGACGTGGTACAGAGGCCCTGGGGCAGGAGTTCCAGGCACCGAGGGATGGCTGGTGAGTCGGAACTCGCTCTATAGGGGACGCGGTGGGTGGTGACATGGAGAGGAAGCCAGGGAAGACCATGCAGGACCTTCTTGGCTACAGCAGAATGTTGGCCTTTACCTTAGTAGGAAAAGAAAGTCTTTAAGGAAGGGGTTTTAAGGAAGGGGTGGATAACATGATCAAAGTTATGTTTTAGCAAGATCCCTCTGGCTGCTGGGTCGAGAGCAGGCTGCGAGGAGCGTGGAAGCAGAAGCCCCGCAGGCGGCGACTGGGAAGGGCAGGTGAGCGGTGCTGGGGGATGGGAGGAGAGAGCAGGCGGGCCGGTGAAACGGAGAGAAATGAACAGTTTGAGATCCATCTTCAAAGTCAGCTCTTAGAAGTAGATCTGACAGGATACACTGATGGATTTGATGCTGGGGGGTGGGGAGGACGAAAAACAAGAAACCAGGGATTTCTGATTTCAACAACCGGGTAGGTGGTTGTCCCATCGCTGAGTGGGAAGACTGAACTTGAATATGGGCAGGGAGTCGAAAGTTTGAATTTGGGCATGTTAACCAGGAGGCACTCATCAGCTCTCTCTGATTAGGGGAGAACACGAACTTGGTAGTGAAGTCTTGGTTTCTTTGTGGGTTCTGGAGGGGACTCCGCAGGTGAGTGCACGGCTCCAGGCATGTCACTGGGAAGCAGAGCTCAGTGAGGCTCTGTGTGTCCAGCTAGCACCCAGTCAGCTGTGGCAGCCTTAACATTTCCAAATGCAGAGTCAATTACTAGCTTTACAAATTCACAGGATTTTTAAATCACCAGGGAAATTTTAACTAAAATTAACTGCACATTAGGAGGATACATTATTATACCTTTTTTTTTTTAACTGCAAGGCTATTAACATAGCTAATGATCCGCATCATTAGATGCTGGACATTTTTCTCTTCCTTCGAGGGAAATGAACTTGTAGGAATGGCTTGTTGTCTTACTGACCCAGATGAAAATACAAAAACAGAAACAAGCCCTCTTTACCATCACGCCAGGAACTTGAAGTCAAAAGTGTGTTTTCCCTGCAGAGCACTGCTTGATCTTCCCAGCCCGCTTTCAGTAAAACAGAAAATAATTATTTTTTAAAAATCTATTAATTATAACCCTTTTTACCTCCCTCTTTGCAGCTGAGGTCAGGCCTATATTCATCTAATCTGTTTCAAAGACGGTACTGCTTAGAAAATTTTAAATCCTTTCACTTAGTGATTCAAGTTATAAATTTAGGGCTTAGAAAAATTATTATAAATGTAGGAGGAAAAGCTTTTTTTTTTTTTTTCTCAAAACTGTTCACCTCTGTATCATTTACTGGAAAGACTAAAAACCCAGCAACAGCAGAATGGTTAAATAAACGATACCCCAGTCACATGCAGAATAGTCTGCCGCTGTTACCCTGTTGATAAAGAATTAACCTGTGAAACACGTGGGTTAGATGAAAAAAGCAGGATGCACGCTTGATTATGTACAAGAGAACTATGCGAACAAGAACAGAGGCTGCATGAAGAAAGACTGGAAGGAACGATATCAAAACAGCAACAGAGCTTGCTTGACTTTCTTTACATTTTCCAAATTCTTCCGGATAAGCACGGTGAGAGACACGCTGCAGCCCTTAGTCATGAAGGAATTATGAGAATGAATTCCAGGGAGATCCTCAAGGTCAAGAAAACTATGAATATCCTAATTCGACAATAAGAAAGTGAGTAGCGGTGGTGATGGGCAGGGGGAGAGAGGGCACGGGAACAAAAGGGCGCTCGAGTTTACTGGATAGAGAACTTTCGGTTATTGAATGCTTACCAAGTAAAGGCTTTCCTTTATTCTGACCACAACCATTTGAATTAGGTATTAGTATTTCCTTGTTATAGGTGAAGAACTTGATGCTGAGAAAGGTTAAGTAATTTGTCCAAACCACAATTAGAATTAGAACTTCAACCCAAACCCACGCTCTTTTCGCCTTACCAGAATTACAGGCTTTGGTGATGGTCTGGATGTACAGCCTGCACAAGAGGGAGGAGTCAGAGATAATATTGAAGGTTCTGTGCCTTGGGCAGCGGGGTAGGTGGTCAGCTTTGGGAGAAGAGTCTGAGTTCAGTGCTGATTTTAAGTTGCGGGAGAGGCATCTTAGCGGAGACGACTGGCTGGCAGCCATGCTGTATAAACAATTCTTAAGTTTATAAGCAAGGTTGTCATCTGGAGGTACAAACTTGGGAACCTTGGCATGGTAGGTAAGGCGGCGACGAAAGCCATGAGAGTGGATGAGATTGTCCTGAGTGTGTGCAGAGTAAAAATAGGGTCTTGGAGAGAATCCAGGGAAACAGCTATGTTTAAGAGCGCGACAATGCAGCCTGGAAAGGAGCGGCCATGGAGTTTTCAGTTACAATGTTATAGACGTCAAGGGGAGAACACGTCTTACAAGGGAACGGTCAGCAGCATTAAATCCTTCTAAGAGGTCAAGAGAGGGACAAGCATCCAAAACAAAGAATCCACTGGACTTAGCAACAAAGGCTGAGGCAGCGACCAAGAGTGGCGGGTTGGGGAATGAGGAGAAGGTGGGGAAGGGGGATGCGCGTGTGTAACTCTGTGAGCACATTGGACAATGTGGGGAGGCACGAGATGAATGGAAAGGAATGGGGTAGGAGAACAGGCCGTGGGACCGAAGGGCAATGCACTGTGAGAGACAGCCTCGTTTAAATGCTGCCATGAAGGAGCCACAGCAGAGAGAGGGGCTGAAAATATCGGAGAGATGGAGGTCACAGAAGAGTCGAGGTATCTGAGATGACAGGAGGGACTGAAACCCAACATACAAGTGGAGGACCCTTCCTCCACCATAGAAGCAGGGAGGGCTGGGCAGGGATGCAGACATATCTGTGGATTTGGCGGAGGGGGGTGAGGGGTGATGGTGGTTTGGAATGTTCCAGCCTGATTTTTGTTCTTTTCTGAGAATTAGGAGGTCAAATTATCTGCAAGGGATGGAGTGTTTGGTAAGGGAAGGAATGGAGCTGGAGAAAAGTGATCAAGGTTTGAATCTGCCTCTTTGGAGAACAGGAATAAGAGTTGACCAGGGAAGAGCACGGGACTGCCAGGGAGCATTAAGGGTCAGCTGAGGCCACAGCGTCTGAAATTAGTATAGCAACCATCTGCCCAGTTGTGTTTTTCTAGCAACCCAGACACTGGCATTAAAAAAAAAAAAAAGAGCATTTGCCAGGAAGGTGTGAGGGAAGAATCAGGTTTGAGGGAGCGAGAGGGTGGAGCTATGACGCTGGCAACAGATGGAGCAGGAACTCTAAGGGGGAACAGGCAGGAAATAAAAATGAAAGGGGCTGCCTGAAGAAAACAGATGGGCAACAGATGTCTCTTATAGAGAAAATAGTTACTGGGCATGCCCTCTGTCCAAACATCTTTCCTGTGTGACTTGATTTCATCTTCCCAACAGCCCTGTGAGGTTGGTTCCTATCCCTATGGTACAGAGGTGTTCAAGTATTTGGCCCAAATGAGTGACTAAGTGGCAGAACTGAAGTGTGGTCCATGTCGCTAGCCACTGGGCTATACTAGCTTCCTACGTGTCCGTGAGGTCCAGGAAAGGAGCTGTGAGAGTCAGTGGGTAAGGGAGTGGAAGGAACTGGGGGCTGTGGTCAGACTAGGCCGTGTCTGACCTTGGAGGTGGGACAGTCATGAGATCCAAGGAGAAACTGAGGAAGGAAGAGTTGGAGGTGGGATGGTGTGTAAGTGTGTGTAGGTTTGTGTGTGTAGGTGGCCGCTATGTGCAAGTTTCAACACCTGTCCTGGCATGTGCAGCAGTCACAGGTGCTCATGCAGCAGTCATCTCCTTCCTAATGACACCTACCCAGTTTCTTTCAGGTATTCCCCTTCCCACTCCGGCTCAGGGGCTCCGGGACGAAGCAGATACAATCTCCAAGGCGGGGCCTGACAGTTCTAAGGCAATCTTTCAGGAACGGAGAGGAACTCAAGGCAATCAGTGCACGCCACTGCCTAACCCCCAGAACTGGTTCAGGGATGGACATGTGACCAGCGGAGGCCAATGATATACAAGGGGGTACTTGCTGGGAGCTTCAGGGCACAAGGGCCAGAACTGCTGCAAGTGGCTTGCTCCCAGCCTGAGAACGAAGCCAGCTCGCAGAGGAAGCAGACTCCGGCCTGCAGAAGAGCAGTCAGGGCCTTCACCAAGCCGTGCCTGGCCTCTGCCAGCCTTCTTTCATAACGGCGCATTATTTCTCCGGGACAGTGGCACATAGTACGCCCACCCACTCCATTGGCTCTGCGCTCTCTAATCCACTCTCCACAACCCCGTTATCTTTCTAAAATACAAACCTGATGACACTTCTTTCTGTAAGTGCCTGTGACGGCTTCCTGCTGTCTGTATGTCAGAGACATAAAAATGAATTAAACGCAGCCTGGGCTG